ACCCCTGCGATTCACGTGATCACTGGGGTATGAATAAGGGACTCCACACTTTGCTGCCCATTCATTTTTGCTCAAGTGTCTCAATTCAGCAGCCTTTTAGTTCATGTTAGGGACACATTGTGACTACCTCAACTGTATAACCAGGCCCTGGAGGCCAGACGGAATAAGGATGAAACATCTTCACTTTATTTTATTTATGCAAAGGCTAACTTGTTGGGACATTGCCTGTATTTCCTAAATCTAATATATGAAAGACTTCAAAGTTACTAATAACACTAATCCTGTAACCCTCAACCTAAATCACCTAAAGTGTTTATTGGATACAAATCTGATAAATTGAAGTTGACATTCTGTCATTAATCTCGATTCCGAGGTGCATCTTTCCTCTAAACCCTTCTGTGTTTAAACAGTGATCTTATACTTTTCCAAATCCAGACTTAGCTCTGCCAGTTTGTCTCCAGTCAAAACATAACAGTGGTGATGAGTAAGAGAAATCGATTTTGGAGTGCAGTGGAATCAGATAGCTTTCCGTCATGTCAAGTTGCTTTGACTTTAATCATTGCAAAATATCTAAAAACCTTTACATGACAATATGGAAAACTTGTTTTGTTTGAATTTGTTTCAGCATCTGGCACAAGGGCTTCATTGTTGCTAAACAAAGGGGCTATTTTCACTTGAGCTGGAGAGAGATAGACATTTTAAGCAATATTGCTGTCTATAAAGTCACTTTGATATATTGTATCGTACAGAACAGTAATTGCTTGGACTTAAGCATCCCTCATTACATTGATCAGGAAAACCAGCTGTTTATATATTATTAACTTGACAAAAGCACTGAGGGAGAACTGTCGTGATGTTTAGAGAGTATTATTCAAGAGCTTATTATCTTTATATTGATAGAAAGAATTCATTTGGGACTGAATTTTTTGCATAAATTGTAGCATGTAAAACCACACTCGCTGATATAAAATCATTAACAACAAAATGTTTCCAAAGTTTACAGTTGATTGTAACTGAAAAGGTGCTGAAATGTCTTTGGATGTGTGATTCCTTGTGTGACACCAATAGGTCAACCGAAAGACATATTTCTGTGGGGTATGAGATTCATCTTTCTTGAACAAAAAAGTTTATGAGAATTAATATAGTCTGGTAAATAATCCCAACCGCTGCTTAAATTAAAAATTTACAACTTATTCCTTTTCATTTGGTTCCAATGCACACACTTTGTTATTTTTTCAGATATCCAAAGTTGTGGTTTGTTCTCTTCTTGTTCCTGGATGCAGTTTAGGACTGTACTTTAGATAGACGGTGATGGATTTAGTGCAATACATTTTGAAGGGTTACAAAAGTGACAAATTTCACTTCAGCAGTGCTTTAATTACACAGTGAGAAGGGCTAATAAACCCACATTCAACAGCAGAACAAATTATCTTAATAGATGCCATGAGAAAAGATATCAACCTGAGTAAAACAACAAGTGGAGCCAAGAAAGGTCTATGGCATATATAAACATATACTGTATGGTTTCTGTTTAGCGTACAATATGGTTGTGATGGACTTATAATATTGCAGACTTTGGACCAATGATATTGCAGACCATCTTAAAAAAATACCTCTGGATTCACCCATAAATGCATTACTGTATGTTCTTCTGACAGTTAAAATCAAAGTTTAACTGTCAGTTCTGTATGTTCTTCTGACAGTTAATTAAAAAACTAAAACATTTTAAATATGAAGTTGAAAAAAAATGAATTCAAAATACTTTCACCATAGCTGATTTATAGATTTTGAAATATTGTAGGTCCCACGTATGGCATTTGGAGGAGGAAAAAAATTATCATACCCCATTAACTAGCGCTTCTTTTTCTAAAAAAAATATATTTTTATTATATGCCCCAGGGTCTGAGTCATCACTTCTTTATATCCATATTTCTTTTCCGTTTGAACCTGCACTTCAGCTTTAATAGCCTGCCTGTTGCTCCCAGGAGTGTCACTGGCAAAAAATTGTCAAAGTGAATTCTGTGCAAGAAGAAAAGTTATTAAGCACAATATTAGCTGGTGTCTGAATGCCTTGCGTGGATAGATGCCAGGTAACCTAGAGGTTAGATTTTGAGCTGCACTATAAATATGAGACGGGAAATCTCTTGACCCATGATGAATAAAAAGCAATGTGTCTGCAGGGTATGACTGAAGCTCTTTATTAATAAGCAGTTGTACTCAGGCAGAGACACGATAATATTTCGCTTGTTTTACCAAACTCTCTAAGAAACAGCGTCAAAATAAGAGGTTTTTCACTTCATTTTGTCTTGCCTATAAAGAGAACATTTATTTCATAATCAATGACATGATCCTTTTAAAAAGGCTTCCTACTGTATGTTAAAGTTTTGGAATATCTTAATATTTGCATTGCTTAATCAGATTGTTCCAGTTGATTTGTTTTCTGTTTTTCTGCTGTTGTTGACAGGGTTTTTAAAAAATTACCTAATTCATATAAAATTATGCTCTTGCAGACAAGTTGGTACATTATCTAATGAATTGATCTAAAGTAAAATGTATTTCTATGTAAAAAGCCATACTAAAGGAGGAACAGAGTTTCACTATGATAATATACTGTACTTGATTGGCATGGTTTCCTCTTTCTGTGATTTTGTCTGTGCTTGGGAGAAAAGGAAAAGTGAGGCTGAAATAGGAGATGTAAAAGCATCACTTGTGCAGGACATTTCCAAATGAAACATGCAGGCCTCTTCATAGAGTGTGTACCAATCAACTAAGGACTAATGTGAGGTCAGATTCAATAATCTGCCCCATCCACATCAAATGCACTGCATTGTGTGCATTTGTCTTATTAACTGACATATATTTGAAAAAAAATAACATTGAATGGTGATTTTTAAAAGGATCACCTACTGTACAATGTTAACATTTAGGTTGTGGCAGTTGCCATTCTTAAATGGAATTCCCTTTCTTTCCTATTAGTTCTGCTATGGGACAGTCCTACCTTACTCTCAAAACCTAATTAACTTTTAAAGATACCACCAGCACCTACAAAAATACTCTATTTTTCTTCCTTCTTCCTACACAGATATCTTTTTATATGTTACGTACTTATTTTAAAGCATTTGGGAACAATAGAAACAAAATGCCATCTGATTTCTGCCAATGTATCATTTCTCATCAATAATGATCTTCAGCCGCTACCCTGCAAACACATTTTTATTTACTGTGGCTCAAGAAGTTTCCCATCTCAGATTTGCAGGCTCTACCTCGGACCACAGTGCGGTACAATAGTTAGGGTTCCTGGCCTTGTAACTAGAACATTGTGGGTTCAAATCCCCCATCCGATGTTAGTACTGTAACCTTAAAGAAAGTATTGTTCCACCAATTTATACAGCTGTATAAATGTGTGCAAGTGTAAATTACTTTGGATATACAGTATACTGTATGTCAGACAAATAAACAAATGTAAATGCTCATTCTCATCTGGTTAAAGTGTTGATAAGTGGCCATGTTTTACTGCATCTCACAGCAAAAGGCCTCAGCCACTGGGACATGGAGAACTTACCAGCTGCCTTACTGACAAACATCATTGCGTATCAGAGTCAGTGGGCATATGGGTCCTTTTCTTCCTCCCATTTTAAAGAGAAGAAATATGTGCCATGTTGCCCTTTAAATATAAAATTGCACAGCTGGATGAATTTATTAAACATGAATCCATTTGTATTTTAGACACGTTCAAATGTTAGAATATCTATTTGGCAGAAACAATTGGATTATTTTTTAAAGAGGTTACACGCAGTTGTAAATTTTGTTTGCCTCAGGTAACAGAGCTTCACAAAGTAGTGCTCAATCCTTTCTGGGCTTGTCTCCCCTTGTCACACTGAATGTAGGTACTACTCACATCTACACACATACTGTATGCTATGGGAAAACACTCAAGAAACAGGTCATAGATTGAGTATGTACTGGAACGAATAATAATGTGAAACGACATGACAAAGAAGCCTGAAGAATTTAGGTCCTGGTATTCTGGTCTCTGGACCACGGTACCTCAGATGGCAAGGGTGTCTAGCTCCTGCCTGGAAGGTCCTGGGCTCAATCCCAGGTAGGGGGAAGTGATGTAGCTTGCTCTAATTCCTTCCAGGTCCACTCTGCCTGCTTTCCAAATGAGTACTGGGGGTTAATCCTTCTGGGGGTAATAGGCTGGCCAGAGCATGATGCCGACCACATCACCTCCACCTCCAGTGTCGGATGGTTGAGAAAAATGTTGGCCCTTGTACCCCATTCCCCATGGGCCTTTATGGCCTGAAAAGGGACCTAGCAACCATCCTGGTCACTTATGTCCTGGGTTATTGTGTTACAGGTTAGTTTAGGCAAAGCAGTCCAAATCACACATAAACAACTTGAGATGGCATCTTCTGACTTGACATGCAATTTTAAGATTTGACACAGTAGATTATAACTTTAGGCTTTTTTCACTCCCGCTCCTGGTAACTTTTGACTGCAGCTCTCAACTGGCTTCCCACTGAGCCTGGTCAGTACCTGGATGGGAGACCTCCTGGGAAGCTATGGTTTCTGCTAGTAGTGTTGTTAGTGGGACCAGCGGGGAGCGCCCACCCTGTGGTCTGTGTAGGTCCTAATGCCCCGATATAATGGCGGGGACACTATACTGTAGTGGGCACCGTCTTTTGCATGAACGAAGGTTCTGACTCTCAGTGGTTGTTAAAGATCCCCGGGCATTTCTTGAGAAGAGTAGGGAGTTATCCTGGTGTCTGGGCTAAATTTCCCCCCTTGGCCTTTACTGTGGCCTCCATATTGTGCCCATGTGTGATTGGCTTGCTCTTGCCCTGTGATGGACTGGCGCCCTGTCCAGGGTGTACCCTGCCTTGCGCTCGTTGCTTGCCCGGTAGGCTCCGGCATCCTGCGACACCGTGCGGTATAAAGTGGGTTTGGCAAATGACATGACATGACATGGCATCAAACAAGATATTTTATTCTGCCAGGGCACTGTGGTATCATATATCATTAATTATTATGCACAGGATATTAAGACTCAAACACACATATTGAACACCAGTAAAAGAATTGATAAGATTGGTGATGAAGATGGAAATTAATCTATTTTGAAGAATAATTCCTTGCATCAGCAGCAAATGATTTTCACTAGAAAGTGATGGTCTTCCCATAATTTATCTTTATTTCAATTTATAGCATCGTTTGGACATAATATATTAAAATGAGGATTACTGCACATTTGGAATGGCTTTCCCAGCTACAGAAAAGAAGTTATAGGATGATTTACATTTGACCAACGCCTGAACAGGAAAGAAAATCACATACAATAGTATTGACATTTTTCTGCTCTCTACAGTTTCACCTCCTGGTCTCTGTTCATTTGTTTTGCGTACACTGACATGGCACTTTAGCATGTGCATATTAAGCACACAGGTCCCTCACAAAGAGCCCGTTTCCCTATCTGACACCACTTGTATTTTATTTTGTTTTCAAAATTCTAGGAATCTTAAGGCAGGAAATGATCATTACAATTCCAAAAGTGTTTTTTTTTATTTGTGAGGTTATGCTATACCTACAGTGTCACCATGCACTAATAGACATCATGAAATCACTTAGAGGCCATGAAGCACCTTAATCAGCTGCATGATTCAATATGCTAAAATGCACAGTGACTTATAAATCACCTTGTACAGTATGTCTATTATACAAATGTGCTTCACAGTACAGTAATAGGTAGTTAAATCATTGCTTTTTCTGACAAAAATTAGAATGGGGCTGAGATGAAAACAAATGATCTTAGTAGCATCTCTTGAACTTGATGAGTTTCTGGAAAGCCTGCTTGAACTCGTCGTTGAAAGCAGTGTAGATCACAGGGTTGATGAGGGAATTCAGGTACCCCAGCCAGGTGAAGAAATCAAACAGAGCTGCGTGAAACCAGCAAGTCTTGCAAATGGCCATCACCAAAGTCACCACAAAGAAAGGCAGCCAGCAGAAAATAAAGGCGCCCAGGATGATCCCTAGAGTCTTGGTCGCTTTCCTCTCTCTGGCAGCGCAGATCCTCTTCCTCTCCAGCACGCTGTCTGCCAGCTTCACCTTGACATTGTTCATGAACACTGGGGAGCCCCCGGGCTGAGGGTGACCCTCTTGGTTGGAGTTGGAGTTGATCGAGCAGAGGGAAGACCCGGCGGAGCCCCCTATGAGCTGGGCGGTGGTGAAGCGCTTCCCACAGGACGATGGGGGCTTGAATATCCTGGATCTGGCAGCCACGTAGATGCGACCATAGAGAATGATCAGCAGCACAGTTGGGACGTAAAAAGCGCCGAATGTGGAATAGATCGTGTATGAGAGCTGGTCTGTGTTGACGTTGCATTCGGTCAGCTCCTCGTGAGCCTTGGCCTGCCTCCAGAAGAGTGGGGGCATGGAGATGGAGATGGAGATCACCCACACTACGGCAATCATAACCCCAGCCCTGCGAGTGGTCCTTCTCTTGCAGTACTCCAGGGCATCAGTGATAGCCCAGTATCGGTCCAGAGCAATGACACACAGGTGAAGGATGGAAGCTGTGCAGCACGTGATGTCTGACAAGAGCCAGATGTCACACATGACCTGCCCCAGTGACCAGGTCTTGCTCACAGTGTAGACAATGCTGATGGGCATCACCAGGATGGACACCAGGAGGTCTGTCACCGCCAGGGATCCTATGAGGAAATTGGCTGGGGTGTGAAGCTTGCGAGTCAAGAAGATGGTGATGACGACAAAGACATTGGACAGCACAGTGGCCAGGGTAATGATCGCCAAAACGATAGACAGGGAGATCTTCAGACCTAAAATGGTGTTCTCATCCCAAGAGATCAGCATATCACTAGGGTTCTGCGAAGTATTTCCAGAAATGATCTGGAAGGAAACGTCAGCAGAGTGATTGCCTCGGTCCATCATCTAACTGTGCACAATTAGGCTCTGTGTAGAGGGGAGCAGGGGAAGGCCTCATTAGAACCCTTTGACCAATAGGTTCAATCACAATCAAACCTCACATTCTACATTTTGTCAGTAGAGTTTTATAATGATTAATTATCTTTCATCACTCTCTGCAATTTTCTTTCAGACCTGAAGATCTAGTTTTGGTGCAAACTCGTCTCAAGTTTCATGTTGAAGCTCTGTCCTGATAGAGCTTTGGCACTACAGCTTTGGAAGTTAATTATAATTCTGACTGCATAGCTCTTGTTTTTCACTGCAGAGCTTGCACCACCACCACTCAAAGGGTTTGTTTAATTTACCTCTATTGCATTGTATTTGTTATTCAAGAACAAGCTTCTGAAATGTAGCTGCTGCACTCTGTACAGCACACCTCGTCCTTTGTTTCTTCTTCACGTTTTGTATAATTTCCTGCTCATTGAGCAGATGTGGGGTTTGAAATCAGAATGAATGTCACAGAAGGTAGCTTCTCTCTCTTGGGCTACGCTGGATTTTTGAAGGAAATAAGTCTGCTTGGAAGTTATTAATTCAGAATCTGTGACCTAAGAACAGGCAATAATGAGTGAGTCATACAAAGGCAGACATCTAGTTGGTTAAGTGGCAATGATGACTAAAGTTAACAGAGGGACATTCAGATTGTTTTAGGATCTTGTGTTGAAAGAATACTTTGATTCTTTTATTTAAAACTGTGCCTTGACTCAGTCTCTTGAAATTGAGTTTTTTTCTGCGTTCCTGCTAATTTCTCAAACAGCTGTAGCTTCAGTCTGATAGAGCAAGGAATCCATGCGGGCGGTACAGGAAACGGGTTAGTCTCTATTCCGTGCCAGGTGGAAGACAAGCTCCCTGCACTCTGAAGCAGGTCCTCTTTCTCTAAGAGAAGTGTGATCTAGAATTGAAAGAGAAAGCACACGGAAAGTTAGACAAAGGCTGGTGCTTGAGCCACAGCACAAAAAGGGGCAAACCCTTCACTGCCACGCAAAATGGACAGAACCAGCAACCAGTGTTACTACTCTGACGAGGGTACTTTTGGATTAAATCCCATCTGTTAATTATAAGTAGCTTAGTCTTTATTAGTTTCACAAAAGTTTTTGCATTTTCATTATTTTCGGGGGGTTTTTCACAGAGCTTTCCTAAAATTCTACCCTTAATGTAACAAAAAACAGTTGACATGAGACTCAAGTCTGGGTTGTTACACTGACACTAAAAGCTAGAGGTGGCCAAGATTCCCAAATGGCGACAGGCAATTGGCTCACCAGGTGTTTTGCACTGAGAAGGGTTACTTTAGTGAAGTTGCGACTCTTGCAATTTCCTCAGTGCCTTTTCAGGCTTGTGATGGTAACAGTGAGGGACGTGCCTGTTCTCCAAATGGCACTGAACCTCCTGTGCCCCACTGAGTTTGTAACCGGTTTGGAAATGAGTGTTTCAGTGGGTACGCAGGTCAGAAGAGCCTGCCTACCCTTCTTTATTCTCCCCTTGAGGGCTGTGAGCACACAATTGGCAAATTCAGATTAGTGGTTACATGATAAAATGAAAAAAAAAGGCAAATCTAAATTCAATAAAAAACTGGGGGCTTCTCTGTCAAAGACAGTGCATGCCCTTGTGAGCAAAGGTAATATAAAATCCTGTCATATAGGTCTCTAACTCTGACCCCAGTTAAACAAACTTGATAATCACATGCTGATGTGTTCCTCAATAGTGAGCTCTGCTATGTGGTGTGACTTCAAGCATAGCAGTACCATCTTAAATCACTTGACACCAGATTGTCCCTTGCCAATGTGTTTAATGGCCCAGCTGCAAAATGGGATATAAATTGTGTTAATACGTCATATAATATTACTCTTATTACCCACACTGTTGGGAGCTTCAGGCCACTGTGAGGAAATGATGAGAAAACCCAATTTAGCTTTAAATCACCTTCCTCATCACAGGCCTATATAGGTGTCAGGCTGTTTAATCCATAAGTCACTCAATAATTGTTTCTTTTTGTTAACAAATCAGACTTCCTGGCAATATAACCACAGAATGATTTTTAACATGAATAGTAATGTAATTTTATAAGCATAACATTGTTTTCTCCAGTGATGTAAAGAGATAGGTCTTGTTTAGATTTTTTTACTGGATGTTTGCCCAGTGGAGCAATTAGTTTTCATGAGTGCATTAAAAGCTCGGAGGCTGTATTTTTTCCAGTATCTTCATAGCGCATTATTGATTTAAAGGGATAAGGGCATTCTAATAACCTATTAGACAAGCTGTCCTTATTTGTTAATCTGCAAGTCTGATAACTCACAGTACTAGATGCATTGGCTTTGTGTCACCAGCAGCTTTCAAGCACTTCATTAAAATGTTTTGTTATAACTGGCTGTTATTAATGGTCACCTAATCCAATGTTACATACCCTGCATTGCTGTTTATTAATTAATAAACGGCCATAAGCAGACCCATGAGAGAATTTAAGAGTGCAACTTTTTACAAATTAACATTCTTTAAACTGACTTCAATTGCAATAGCAGCCAGTGCAGATCCAAAACTACCAGAAACATCAGACGTGTGTCTTTAAAGCTGTGCTGTAGTGAATGGTGGCTGTTACTAATAACCATCACCTTGTTCAGTATCACACTGGTGATGCTTAATGGAAAAGGTTTTGGGCAGAGAATAAGCCCAGAAATGATACAAGTATCGGAAATTGTCTGTATAAGTTGTCTGTTTTCTGAGCATAGGATATAGACAATTACAATAAACAATCTCAAATCTCAAACAATATACTTAAGTGCCATAAGTAATTGCCATTGTAGTAAACTAAAATTGCTGTACTGGAGTAAAGAGATTCTGTTGCTTGTCCATACTAATGAAGCCAGTTATTAACAGATAGGATACATTCTGTACTAATTGTGTGGCTTTAGAAGCAATTATTTGACTTGTTAGGTGAGCTTGCTGAATAGTTATGGAATACAGTATGATGCAATTGGTAAATAAAACAGGATCTGTTGCAAATTATAATCATAGGTTTGCTCAGTTTTCATAGCATCCAGGTTAACTTTTTGTTTTACAAATGTTGGAAAAATGCCTCCTGAGAACCCTGAGCAGCATGTTTTTCTCTGATAAGAAGCTGTGCGCTCAGCTATTAGTGACGTTCACTTGACTGGCGTGAAATGGAACAAGTGTTTTACGTTTCTCATAACACTGAGACAAGTGATGGAAAAATGTCTAAAATAGATTTTACTTTTCAGAGGCAGAGGAGGGTGATATGTTTTCTTTCTGTGTAACATTCAAATATTTTGTTAGGGATTTTTATAAGGGTTGTGGTTAAAATTGAATGGATTCTATAACAGTATGAAAGTACGAGGCCCACTGGCCACATCCTGCCATACAAGTCTGCTTTTTTTTCCCAACAACCTCTAAAAGTCATAAGCTTTGATTGTAATCTTAAGTCACTTTTTCAATTTTTCTTTGACTGTGAGTAACGGAGCCTTACATAGATTTAGACAGGAACTGAATACCTCAGTGAGGAAATGTGAAAGTCTTTTTGTATTTTGCTCTTTCCTTTGGATAAGTACACATGCCTGTCTTTGCCTCTGGTGGGCCTGGCACCTGAGATTTCAATGGAGGATAAAGTCGAGCCTGTTCACAGACAGAGGAGCCCCAGGAGGATTCAGCAGGGTAGCTATAACTCTGAAGTCTTAGAGGGATGAGAGAGTGGTTTAGTAAGGAGGGAAGGTGCATACAGTGCTGCTATCAGCCTCCCCATATGTAAGCAGGAGTGATATGACACGTTGTCACAGTCTCCTCCTTGACGAGTTTACAGGCATAGATAGAATATAACAATAACGATGGCACAGCCACAACTGCAAAGATGTGCAATGGTGTTTATTACGAGGAACTGTGTTCCCAAAGTCCACACCCCAAAAAACAAAGTGAAAACCACAAACTAACCAGGAAAAAACAAAACAAAGCTATAGTACAATAATATATACATTAATTACTGCAGGCAGCTCCTATTTTACCCCCCCCACAATCCACTTGCTCCTATCTCCCCCCTCCTATCTTGAAGAGCTCCTTTTCTAGGTTAAACTCCCCTAGAATATTCCACTATAAAGCCAAAAAATAATTTTACTAAATAATACTCAGAATTCTGATATACACATTTCTTCATTAAGTACACAATTAAACAACGAACATATTATTACCAAAAATACAATATCATACTCCTTTTATGTACATAACTGTTGTTTAAGAAAATACTACCCCCTCTTAATGGTATCTTCGTACAAAATCCAAGCATGCGCAATCCTGAAACAGGTGCTACTAAGCCAGCCCCTATTGCCACGCCAAAAGTTTGGGTCCAACAGGTTTGCGGGAGAAACCATTTTGCCGGTGAGAAATCCAAACAGTTTATTTATTTGAAACACGTGAGTTGATCACCAATTTGGTTCATTTCACTTCTAAAACAAAGGAAAACAGCTGTTTGGTTTGAGTTAATGTTTAATTTTGATAATACGGGAACAACCTTACTTTACTTTGCTCTGTGTGCACCCACGGTGCAAGCAAAGCTTTCCCCGGAATTCCAGACTAGTTTGTTTACGTTGGAAACCAGCGTCATCGCCTTTGTTTAGATAGTGAAATGTTGACGTATGTGTGTGTTTATGTTCATGTGGATATCTCACGAGTGCCAGCTGATCTGAAAACGGAGTCTCCAGTCATACACGTGCTGTGATAAGCAGTATATATAGACTTAAATTCAGTGCCAGCAACATTCCTGCATGACAAAACCCAGCTACAGGGTAAAAGTGCTTGGAGGGTTTTTAACAAAACTTTGTATTTTAAACTTTTTTTTCAATATATTCAGCATTTTAATGTGTACGGCTCCATTTTAAAGATTCCTACGATCGCCCAATAAAATTACTGCATGTGCTGACATCCAAAGGCATTTCTTTTCCATTCCTTAACCCTGCAAAACACAGTTCAACCTGCTAAAAGCCATGGGTTTATTCACTAAAGTATAAAGGTCACTTTTTTCTAATATTAATCCTAAATAATTTATCTTTCCTTTTGTGTATATTTTGCTCTTTCATGTTAAGTCAACTCAAACTATCAACCCTTCATCTGGAAGTCCAGAACTCCAACCATTATTTCACATTGTAGGCCTCTGGGAATCCTAGGGCTTTATTGTTATTTGTGGATTTCAAAATTACTGTGTTATCTGCCTACTCTTTCAGGAAAAAAAATTGGTGGACAGGTACTTTTTAATGGTGGAAAAATTGTGACACACTCTCTGTATACTATATATATATACTTATACTATAAGAAAAAAAAATCAAGAGTTCTGAAAGTGTAGAAATGCAACTATAGCTGTTCTAGAGCACTAGAAATAGTCTCATTAATTAAGTCTACTCATGAAAGAGATGAATCAATTATTTCTATTCATAAGCTCCCAAATTTGGAATTTCCAATTGTTAATCAGTTTTGTGCACTGCTGTGAGCTTTGTACTAGTATTAAAATGTACACTGTCAGAGCCATCTGTTGTTTTTCACACTGCTTGTCTAACTGCGCCCACAGCAAAGTATTGTTCAGAGAAGCTGTATTTCCTTAACTGACAACACGCATAGCTCACAGTCTCCCATGCTGTGCAGAGAAGGATACCCTCTCTGACTTGAGGTTCTCAGCCTGGCATGATTCTTTCAAATTCTTTGGACGTCTTTGATGTTGTTTATATTGTTACAGAGAACATTCCTATCTTTGTCCGTGTTTATTGTTACAGATAAAACTCTTTAATTCTTATTTCCAGCTTTCATTTTCTCTGGGTTTAAATCACAGGCATGCTTTGATCAGAGTGTTGAGTGTTGCTCTGTACTGCGGCTGTTCCTGTGACACAAGTCCCAGTACAGTAC